AGTTGTCTGGTACCTAAAGTATTAAATAGTTTAAAGTAATTGGACAGTATTTTTCTGTAAGAGGCCTCTCCTTCCTTCCTTGGGATAGGGATTTTGGTGAAATAAAGAGAGCAATAGAAAAACAAAACAGAATTTAGTCTGCGAAACAATATGTCGGGACTCTAACTCAAGAAAATTACAGAATGCTCTTCAAGCCAAGATTATTCAATACAAGGATGCCATTAATTTTAACTGATGGCTGCACTACTTTAAAAGCTCTTTAAATAACCTAAATAGTGAAATGAAGGAGAAATTTTCTCTTGCTATAATACGCCAATTGATTAATATCCATTAAAATCTGGGCTATGTCATTGCTTCAGAATGGAGACATGGAATGAGTGGCAATGCACACTTATTAAGGAAAACAAAATACTACATACTCCAAGAAATATGACTTAGTTCCTGAAAATCAAAAGGGGCTGTATATTATTAAAAAATAATTCATCAAAATATCAGGCGTTTCATAACATTCTTCAATAGCACTCAAGTCTCAATCTTTGAGAGCTAATTCTTGAACAAAATAAAACTGCAAAATTATCGCCACACAGACAGTAATAGGGCTATGGTACTAGGATGAGAAATGACGTAACAAAGAAAGTAACCTATCACAAAGCATTAAAATGATTTTAGTAATTTAATTTTCAAAAGTCATTTAGATCGTCCACGCCTTGTTTATTATAATTCTTTATGATGATGTTTACTTTGTTTACCACCTCCGCACTTTGAAAGATTCACCCCAAAGCCTGAAACTACCCTTTATCCCATCCACAAGATATCCTCAAGTTCGATCATGTTCTGTACTTACACTGCTTGGCACTTCCTCCTCTCTGATACAGTCCTGCAGAGACTCATAATACTCCCACTCACCTTCATATAAATAAGCTAATCATATGCTATACCCTGCACATCAAAAGAAAATTAAAGAAAACTAAATAAAGCAGCTAACCTGCATTTAGCAAGATGAGGCAAAATTGATCTTCCTTCAGCTGCGACAAAACCTTCTGATAAACGCCACGCATCTCTGGGATGAGATGGATCAACAGCTTCCAGAGCTACACTAAATTCATCTGTCCATTCAGGTTGTGGAAGTCCCAAAAGCTCGTATAAAAGATCCAGAACAGCTTTCTACAAAAAGTACATATCAAATTTTATTGTAATAATAATAGCAACATATTATTTATTACTTGTATTGAAGTACATTTTTGTTAAGAGTTTGTAAACAAATTTGCTCAGTTAAGAAAAAGAGTCCAGAACACCCTTGGAGAAGACACACTGCGAAAGAGAAAAGGTTAATGAAGAGATGGAAGGGAGCACGTGACTCCTTATGTATTTCCCCAAAAATTACAAAAAGCTCTCACACTGCGCTTGAATCTTTGAGACAACTCCAGCACATCAACTCAAGATATTCTGAAATGCACTAGTGGAATATCTACAAAATGATGTATATTCACACACACATTTATCCTTGAATTTTTTAACCAAATTACTTTCATGGTCAAGAAGCATTTCTAAATTGAGAGGTTTGACCCTCTTTTAATATCATAATTACAATAATAAATTTAGTAACATAATATACCTACACATTTCATACGTTTCAAGAATTATCAGTGCAACAACTTCAAAAAGTTCAAAGAAAGTTTAATATATCATATACATAATACGTTGATAAAACTATAAGAGAGACATAAATGTAAAAATAAAATATTACATTTTCTATTCTACAAGTTTTTTTAATTTATAGAGACATATTTCTATTAAATATTTTTTTTTACAAAACCCTTGATTATTTTTTACTACATATGTTTTTAATATTATTAAAGAGTTTAGGATACAATAAAATGGTTCTATGATGGGGACTTTTAATTGTTGAGCCCCTAGAAGTATACATCATGTGGTATTTCTGTTGACCTCTAATACTACAATTATACATTTCGCTAATATGAATATATTGTGGGCTGAATTTCTTTCTACAAAGAATACTGATTTTATATGCGTAAAAGGCTATCACAGTCATTATGTTGTGTATAATGTATTTTTTACACATTTTGTTGGGTTTTATTTTGAAGATGGATCTCAGGGCTCTTTTCTGAAGCATCATAATTCTGTTTATTATTTTGAATGACAGTACTACCATCAATACCACATTCAATATGGAATTGAGATGAATGTGGCTGTATTATCCCATAACGTCACGTCATATCATATGTTTTCATGTATTTACTGAAATATCTTATTAGCAAAATATTAGATACAATTTTGTTACTTATTTCATCAATGTGTTTATTGAGTATTTAATTTTCATTTATATTTATTCTATGAAATTTAAGATATTTAATTGGTTTAATAACTTGGTTATTTACTTCAACATGAGGTCAATTACTTGTCAGTTTTGAATTTGAGAGATAAAATATATTACTTTTGTTTTTTCTTTATTTAAGATTAAGTTGTTTACATTTAAGAAGAAAAATATGTACCATTGATTTAGTTATTTTTTCATCATGAGCAATAAAGTCTTTGTCATGACTAACAACTGATGTATCTGCATTGAATATTAATTTATAATCTGTAAACTAGAGGAAATAATTTACTTGAATCAGAAAGTAAGGAGCCAAAGACTGACCCCTGTGGAATACATGTAGTTACTGTCTCAAACATTGATTGTATTTTCTAAACTGAGTGTTCAGAATCACAAAAATATTTCAGTACATTGCCTTCACTTTACCAAGTAAGATTTAGGATCATTTGTTTCCTAGTCCAATACTTTATTTTTTGGAGAAAAAAAATTGTGAGACAGTGTCAAAAACTTTAGATAGCTCTATAAAAATACTTAGTAAATGTTGATTATTTTCATGTTGATTGCAATACTTATTTAGGAAAATCATATGCTGCAATGATAGTGAAATGCCTTTCCTAAAACATATCATTTTTTGTTAGAATTTTGTTCACAATATCCTTGAGCCTATGCAATGCATTATTACCATACGGAAAAATGCTTTTAGAAAAACTCACCTCAAATTTATTGGATGATAAATTCAGATATCTTTCATTAGTTTTACAAAAGCACTTGTCTTGTCACTTCCATTATATTAAAGTAGATCTACCTTTCGTTTCAATGCATTTGCCTAAATGCAGCATCCGATTAAAATTTCCATAATGCTACTCAATGAACACATTCTGCACAGCAGATTCAACACAAACACTGTTACATGCTTTCCCTCAAAATCTCGTAACTTCCTTTCTCTCTCCCTTGGGTTTCCTCTTTGCCAGAAGCTGGTACAAACCAGCAGTTGACAAATTCTGTAAGTTGTAGTGGACTCTTCTAATCAACCACATGCTCATAATGATTCTAACAATTTGTGATTTGATTTCAAAATGCAAAATAATATGTTTCAAAAAACAGATTTGGACAAGTAAGCAATTAACTAGACAATTTTGAATTCATTCATTGTACAAGATTAAGGCAAAATTTATAATTAAATTACTTAATTTTCAAACAATTTACTCTATAAAAAATGAATTCTCTCTCAAATGAAACATTTTTTACCACATTTCTCTTTGGACCAAGCGTATTGAAAAGAAAAAGAAAATAAATTACGATTACTACCTGACAATTTAAGTTAGAACATTAAAAAACTCACCCGTACTTCAAGCTGTCGAACGTAAAGAATATTAACAATCGCTCGCAAACCAGAACTGTCACCTGGATGACAAAAGTGAAGTACTCCCGGCCATGATCGAAGAACAGATAGTAGTGCAAGACGACTACAATGAAATCTGACTTCCCTTTCGTCTCTGAGGTAAAGAAAGACAATGTTTAATTACAAATTCATAATGAAAATAATTATAATATATAGCTAGCAAGTAGCTACCTATTGCGGGAAGGATCCCAATGAAAGTCACAGAAAGGAGCTGCTAGGGCTTGAAGCCTTACTCCAGCTTTTTCACGAGTCACTGGATTGTTTAGAAGAAATAACAACACTCCACATAGGGATTCAGCAATGCGTGGCATAGAACACTCCAACAAATTACGTTGCAATGCTGTCACTCCACCACAGGCTATAAAAACTTCAGTATTCATCACACCTATGAAAAATACATTAATGATAAAAAATTCAAGAACATTTTTGAAATCCGTTTATATTCTTCACAACACTGGTTTTCACAGTCCACTAAAACCACTCACATATTTCAGATAATGTAGCAAGGCAGACTCGCAACATTTTGTCCTTCTCTTCAGCAGCACCATTTGCCAATGCAATAAGAGAGCACACAAGGCTTGGTGAGAAAATTGTTGGGGCCAAAAGCAACATTCTTCGGATAACTCGTAGGGCTTGCATTCGCTCAGCGTCATTGTGAAGATGTAAATCAAAACTTCTGAACACACAAAAAAATTCAATGGAAATTACGAATTCTCATAAGGCATGTCTAAGTCATAAAAACAGAATAAGACAAATACAATTATTCATAACTTGAGTGACATACCTTGCTATAAGGTAAGGATAATGTAAATCATTCAATGTTTTGACATGACTTTCTTTTTTCAATAAGTAACGAACAACACGCAATGCAGCAGATCTAACCTGGGATGCATCATGAGCCAATGCAACTTGCAAACTGTAAGTTAATTTAAAACATTTTTATAATGTACATAACATCACACACTCCTAGAAGTATCAATACTCTGGTCATCTCAGATAGATTGTCAATCTCACTGTCCCAAATTCACTAACATTTGTCAATCAAAAAAGTTTAAGTTATACACACATCCTTACCACGAGAACAACTGTTCAACCGTATAACCCAATTCTCCTGTTTCTTTTGTTTTCGTTAACAATTTAACAAATGCGTTCAGGTAGCCAAACCTCTTGCCTTCGGTAAGCCCTTGCTTCTTACAGATATTTGTTAGAATTTGTTTCGCATTCTCGGAACAATCTGTAACGAAAGATATGTTAAAACCTAGCGTTGATTTATTTTAACTCCTCTTAGTAATAAAATCGGCAGATAAATAGTAAGCACCTTTGGTTAGGTCGAGTTGCACGTCATCTTCACTGTCATGTCGATCTGAAAAGTCAGAAATTAATAAGTATAACACATCTTCTCAGAGTTCTGCATTTGATACTACCTGCATGGATTTTTCTTTGCAATGTAACTTACTTCTAAGAGTGCGTCCAGTTCGTGAATTTCTCCCTCTAATCATCCAGCTTGCCATCGCCATCTTTTCGTAACATTTTTTATTCGTAGATTAACTTTTGTTTTACACTGCACACTGCCACGCTCCCTCACGCTTCGCAATCTTTCATTGCATTCACTACTGTTCAACGCAAAACGCAGTCGTTCGGAATAGGTGGAATAGGCAGAGGGAATAGGTTCCGAGAGCAGCGAATGCCAGCGCTGTCGAATCAAGTGATCTGCAAGTGATCGTGGGCTAGGTATCGGCGGAATAACGGGAATCGGTAAGATTTACGGACGCATTTTTACAATATAAAGCATTGACAGATTCTTGTTAGAGACGGATGTTGATGTCCTTAGTTTTACGCGTTGTCTGATTTTTCTCTCCCGTAAATGTTGAATTACAACTGTATTCATTTCTATTTCTGCTTTGCGTCAAAATGTGTAAGTTAAATGGGTACCAGATACGTCAAAAATCGTCGTGTTTCAGAACTGAGTGGTGGATTTTATTTGTTATTTGTAAACTTTTATTGAAATTTTAAAGTTTTTTGTTGATTTAAAAGAAAAAAATATTAATTTTGATGAGAATGTTTACAGTTGGAGGTTATCGTACTTTAAGGGTACTTGGATAAAACTATATGTGTAGGCTATTAAGTGAATGTATAATTAAAATCATTTTATAATTACTTACTTTAATTTGTTACTAAGTTCTAAAAAAATGTTCAGATTTTAGTTTCTTGTAGGATCTGTGTGTTTTTGTTTAGTCCAAACATGGCATCTTCAACATCAGTGACAACAGATGACGATGAATTGACCTTACCAAGAGCTTCGATAAACAAGATGATAAAAGAAATTTTGCCAAATATCAGAGTTGCTAATGAATCACGTGAACTCATTTTGAATTGCTGCACAGAGTTCATTCATTTGCTTTCATCTGAAGCAAATGATATTTGCAATACACAGCAGAAAAAGACTATTAATGCAGAACATGTTTTACAAGGTTACATCCAATTCTTTTCCTGCTTAGTATTCAGTGTTCTGTTCTGGATTAGTCATCTCTTTTTATTATTTCAGCATTGGATCGACTTGGATTTGGAGACTACAGAGCTGATGCAGAAGCTGTATTGCGAGATTGTAAAGCAGCTGCTGCAAAGCGAAGGCGTCAAAGTATGCGCTTGGAAAACCTAGGCATTCCAGAAGAAGAGCTGTTACGACAGCAACAAGAATTATTTGCTAAGGTAAAATACATTTTATTTTTGCCAGCAAATTGTTCTGTTATTTAAACATTAATGAAATGGTTACGAAGAGCAAACATGCCGTGCTGGTATTTTTCATTTGTAAAAACTCTTGGGCAATTCAATTTGGTTGTGAAATGAATCTTGGACATCATAAAGATGCTTGCATTCCTTGCCCAAAGACCCATATTTAATTCTTGGGAGGGGCAAGGTAAATTTACAGCTCCTATAATGTAGTGGCATGTCACAGTTTCTGTGACTAGAGCAATAAGAATTTGATGAAGGTATGGGTGATGGTGAACAATGGCATTCACGCTGTATGGATGATTTGTAACTTGGTGGGTATCTGCTAATTAACTTTTGGTATATCCAAATTTATTACACTTTCCTCTTCCTCGTCTCTTTCAACATAGTGCAAGAAGTCAGGAAAATGAGGGATGCATTAGTGTGTAGTAATTAAGACATCAGTTTCCATGACACATGTCTCAGTGCATGTATTATTGACCAATTTGGGTTTGCTCTACCTGATAATTATAAAATATGAATATCCAAGAAGAAACTACAGTTTATTGATGATTGCCTTCAAACTGCTTTGTGGGTGATAATTTCAAGAAATGTAATAAGAGAAAGAAGAGATACTGTTTATGATATTCAGTGAAATTTAAATGAAAAGGCAGTGAAGAAGAAAAAAAAAAAAAAAAAAAAAAAAAAAAAAAAAAAAAAAAAAAAAAAAAAAAAAAAAAAAAAAAGCTAGACAATTGTCTTGCCTTGGTTAGTGTATACATCTCTTTTTATTGTGGACACTACTTCAAATCAAAGAAGAGAACTCGTAGAAATTGTCGCGGAGGGTGAGACATCTAGCCACAATTCTTCTGTAAGTACCTATTCATGAGCCATTATGAACATCTTTTATTAGCACTAGATATTATGCTTTTTTTCATTATTATTTATTTATTAATGGATCAGTGACAAACTGATATACACATCTTTCATCTAATACATTTTGTAGTGCTAGTATTGTTGTGTAGTGTGTCTAATAAACTACTAATAAAAATAGCAAGAATACGATAACCATAAGGTAAACTTAATTTATTTAAGCTCAATAAATTTCAGTGGTATTTATTATTGACAGTTTCAGTTGAGATGCTTGGGACTAGATAAAGGGAGCCCCCTTCCAAATTGAGATATTTTTTGACATTATCTCACTATGGTAACATAAACAAATATAAAAATTTGTGTTTCTATGTTATTTTGGGAGTAGAATAAGATAATATCATCCTCTTCTAGTTTGGTCGTGGGTCACCTATCTTATTCCGCTATACCCTTTGCCAGTATTCCCCAGTATTTAAGAAAGGAGACACTCTTGCCAAAAAACTATAAGCCCATCAGCTTGACAAACCTGTAGAGGAGACGATCAAAGGAGATTATAGCAATGAAGCATAAGCCATACTCAATTATTTTGCACCATCAACATGAACTTTGTATTAGGTTGATCCACAAGTAACTTGACATCCTCATTAAATAATTAGACTAAAACACTTGACTTCAATAAACCGATGCATATGTCTGACTGAGTCTCAAAAAGTATTAATCCTTAAACTTCACTCCATTGAAATCGGAGGAGATATCTTCGCAAGCGAAGTTTAATGGTCAGAATCTGTGATAGTCAATACATAATTAGTGGTATCCCTTACGGATCAGTTCTTTGACCCATCATATTCATGCTTAGACTAGCAAACATGAGGTTAGCATAGAAAAACACAAAAATTTTCCAAGCAAAGGTAGACATTCTACAACATATTCTACAAATAAATTAATGATCAATACTATGGAAATTGCCTCTTAACCAAGATAAGTGCTCTGTCTTCCATCTTGTGTTGAAGATCCTCATATCCATATATACCTTGGGGAATGTTATTTTGAGACTGGTTTCTAGCCAAAATGACCGAGAGGTGTCAACAACACACCCAAAAACTGAAGTGGGGAGGACACAGCTGCTGTGACTAGGCAAGTTAACAGCCTTCTGAAGCAAGAATCCTTTTTCCTTTTTAAGTTGAGTGTTCATACTGCTAAGAAAATACATATGATATATACTTATATTAGACTCGCTCTTGAATATGCCAACATTCCAAAGGGGCTCCCTGTTTCAAGAAAGATGTGAAGCATATAAAAGATTCAAAGAAAGTCCACATGGGTATCCAGTAAATATCATCCTGCCAACATGACTTGAGGTGTTCAAAAATGTCTTTCTGCACAATGCAGAAGAAGTGGAAATAATACTATTGAATCATTTAAAATCCTGAATGATAAATACAAGCAGGGTGGGAAGAGGGCACTCCCCTCGCACATCTATGCCAAACGTGGATACATCCCAACTGTGAGTCTCATGGAGGTTCTTCCTCATCAACTACTTCCCATGTGACGGTTTCGGCCAAGACAGCTATCTCAGTCAAAGAGAAGCTGGACTACATGAACCCCTCATTAAGAAGAAAAAAGAAATGCAATTATGTAAAACAAACTACCAATTTTGATCAAGTTAATAGTAAATTAAAGTGTAGATATGTAGTAATTTACTTACAAATAATTTAAATTGTAACATTGTGTGTGTATCTGCTTTGGCTGCTGTCATTAATAAATAAAAAATAAAATAATAATGGAATGTAATCACTATCAGAATAATGCATTCCATTATTCTGATAGTGAGTCCAGGTAATCAAATGTTATTCATTTTCAAGAAATTAATATTTGGCAAAACCATTATTCTGATATATTTATTTGTAGTTTATTTGCAAACTGATTTTCTATGTTTTCTTTCAGGATTTACGCACTGAAGGAATAGTCAACCTTTTTCAAGTCAACCTCCCTTCACAAAATGAGCATGCATACGTGCAACCAATCTGCAACAAAAGAAATATTCAGAAAACATCAGAAGAAAGAGGAAGCTTACCAATTGATGAAAGATGCTGCTGACCATTTGAACAATGAAAACAAATCAGTTATATGTGGATAACATTTGGCTGCTGATTGTAAAGAAGTTGAGGCCTAAAATTGTGATCACTCAAGTGATTATGTTTGGTTTGGAAGTGGAAAAATTGAATTGTTTCATTAGTTCCTCTTCTCTGTGACCTATGTACCTGACTGGAAATGGGAAAATTGAATCGTTATAGTGGTCCCTCTTCTCCATGGCCTATGTACCTGATGACTTCAAGCTCCTCCCTGGTTGCTCAATTACTTCGCAGTAATGCTAGTAGTGATGAGTTTCAGTTCCTGACATACAAAAATGTGGGTTTCAACCCCACCCCACATGACACCTCTATAATGTCACAATCCATCCAACAAGAGATCATGTCCTCACCTTGGAGCTCGTGGATTTTTTTAAGTTTCAAGTGAATTTGCTCACAAATTGCTGTTGTGAAATTTTTGTGTTAGTAATGTTTTCAAGATTTAATAATATTTAATGTACTACTACTTACTTTACTTTTCACTAACATTTCTAATGATGATAATATTAATAAATTATTTTTTCAATGATAATCAAGTTTTATGATTTTGAATTATGACTTACCTTGGAATTATCAATGCTTTTATTATGACATGTGGCAATAATTTATATATGCTGTGTTTTGAGGGTTTGAATGTGGAAGACATTATTGAATCATCATCAGTGGCAAAAACACCTCAGTGTAGTTGCTAATCTAAATTGCAGGTCGAATTGTATCTTGAAATTAGATCTAATTTAGAAATGGTGCTTTTAATCTCAACAAGTTGTTAAAGTTGTCCTGTGACACCCATGTAAAATCCCTGAACAGACCGTTATTGAGCTGAGGCTCCATTACCAGAACAATATTTCTTTTTCTCAGGTACTCTTTTGTGCATCGGTCTCGTTGCCTTTTTATTGCATGCTTTTGCAAACCTCTGAACATTCAAAATAGTGAACAACAGCATAATCCATTCTGATTGATGATGGAAATGCATTTGTATTTGTAGATCAACAATTGCATGTGCTATCTGTGCAGTTTCAATGCAGCATTAGTTGATGTGCAAGTTAAAGGGGAAGAAGAAAAGGACAATTTTTGTTAAAACCTGTTAACTTTAGAAAATTGCATATTTGAATCTCCTGCACTTCTTTTGCCGAGATTGTTTCACGAGATGGCCGAAGATGTACGATACAGTTTGCAATATTAAATATTATACATCTGAAGATAATGTGAGATAGTTACAAATAATACAAGTTGCTTGCAGGCTACTAGAGCCTATCTTTTCTTCTAACAGGAATCACCTCTTCTGTTGAAGTTCAGGAGTGCATTTGTTACTGTGGTGTCAACATTTGTGGACCCATAACCTTCGTTAGGTTGCTGACAGAATATACGCTTTGTGGGTTCTTGATACCAAAAAATTGATCGACTGCAAATGTCCATTCATGTGTGGTCAACGTTAGTGTCTAAACCGTTGACCGTTGAGCTGATTTTCTCTGAAAGTGATATTTACCAATCGATCTGGCTGATGTCGAGGTCCCTTAAATTTGAAACCAATATTATAATTTCGGGTAGTACTTTACATGAAGTATCTGTGACATTTAAAAAAAATGGGTACAAATATTTTGATTAAATTTTGTAGTTGGATAGCGTAGACACACAGGTGCAGGTGTAATTTTTGTTAAAATCCCGTATTTTTCGAAAAGTGCAAAAGTTCAAACTTTTAATTATAATTTATTATTGAAAATCCTAATATTAATTTGGTTTTTACTCTATCTTACAATAACTATTGTATTTTTAATTTTTTTCTTTCAAACAATCCACAAACCGTTATTGAAATTAGCCTGATTAAGTGTTGTGTGTGAAGGAAAGTATTTCAGCAAGATCTAGAATTCTAAATACAGCACTTTCTTTTTTCATTCAAGCATATGCAGTCAAAAAACTCAATCACTAAAAAAATATTTTGGTGCTTGATATTATAAGAATAATATTATTATCGCGGAGACAACGGTTGAGTTATAAGAGGTGTAATGCAGTTTTTTTGATCACAGGCACGTGAAGAACAAGCTGCTGCAGAACAGCAACAATGGCAGCAGCTGCAAGAAGCCGCGCAAATGGTCTCAATGCAACAAAATAATGAAGATCCTGATCAGGATGATTATTCTTAGGAAAACCTAAATGGCCTTTACAAATTTTGTATTAATTTTTCTATATGGTTTAATTACTTGCTGTATATAAATAAAGTAAAATGAAAATTTCAAATACTTGTAGTTTTTATTTCCTTTACACTCATTTAACCATAAATATAATATACCATTTAAAGAAAGAAAATTATTATGAAGAAATTCAATTGAGAAGACATTCATAAATAAAACTGAATTTTTCTTTGCACTGAATTGTACTTACATCAACAATTTATTGATTCACATACAATTAAGAATAAATTTAGTTTTTAAGAGCATTGTACCTTAAACAGTATAAATATCAAATTAATGGTTATGACATTTGTTAATAGCAAACTAATTAATCTTTGCAATAATAATTGAACTCTCCACAATTAGTATTGAATTATGGTAGAAAAGAAAAAAGGTAAGCCCTATCATATAATTCTTTATACGTTTGAGGAAAAAATGGTAAAAGGCTTTTCCAGTCATCATAATGCAGTGAAAGAATGCCAGTAGCTGCTGTAGCTCGGAATGTGCGAGTATGAGGAGTACTCTTGTACAGTCCTTGTATCTGCAAAGTGGTTGAAACAAATTATAAGAGAAATATTGTATTTTTTCAATGAGAATTTGTGTCTGCAGAAGGATATGTCAGGAAAGTAAGATCGTTAGTGATATGCTCCTGAGATTGTAGTTGCAAAATAACTTGACTCAATTGTAAAGATTATATCTTAAGATAGATATTAATGGAACTATTCTAAGATTTGTGGAATTGACAAATGATAATGGGGAGGCAAAAAGGCGGTCTACAATTTTCTCAAATTCCACAATGAAAATAATGGATTTTATATAAGCTGTGCTAATCTTTAAAAGAGCCTTTTACTTTCTCGCATACACACACTCACGCGCACGCCACATGCACACACGCATGCACACACACTCTCTCTCTTCTCTCTCATAAATAACAAAAACAAGAATTTCTCAAAAACGCTTCAAACTTTTGGTAGAGATAGTGCTAGATGTACTCTAGAAGATGACATTAAAGCTATATTACCCTATCCTTTTGTTTTTTCCAAAAATAATTTTTTTTTTACTTGACTCTCACGTCGTTTATATACATTAGCGGCAATTTGTTCACATTATTGTATTTGAGAGTGCATGTGCTTCAAATAATGTCAGTTTACTGTGAAAATGAGATCAAAATTCTGCCTTCTCAGGAATGTTCACAGGCCATTTTCTAAAAAATGGCCCCAAATTTTTTCCAACAAACAGTGCTAATTGCACTGTTTAATACAATATACAGTTTATTTTTCCGTATTCTTTTGTTTTTCCTCCCAAAATGACCAAATGTAATTTTTTATTTGAAATATCTCTCACCTTTAATGTGCACATTTCCAGCGATTTGCAAACACTATTGCATTTATGACTGGAAGTGCTTAAAATGACTTCATATAAAGTTTTTCGAAAACCCAATAGTTTTGTGTGAAGATGTTTAAAGTACCCCTTCACAGCACCCCAGCTTAAGCACCATTTTCTTAAAAACAGCTCCACATTTTTCAATGAAAATTGCCATTTAGATCAAGGATTTACTCGTCTTTAATATTCTTAAAGTAATAATTCAGTTCTACAATTTAAAAAAACAAAAAATTGAGAAAATTAAAAAAAGAAAGTACTTTGGGTGGCAAGAAATGGCAGCTGGCAAGAGGATAGGGCAAGTCAGAATAGCTAGCCCAGCCCAAAGAAAATATAAAACTAATACGAGAAAGTCTGTGCTATACTGTAGCACCACTGGTTACTATTATCTTCGGGAACCATTTACACAGTAGAAAGATTCGTTTTGATCATATTTTGGAATCTTGTGCCAAACACGAAGTTGATTAATGAATACACGCGTTTTGTAACAATAGGTAGCTTGTGCCGCGACCGTGTGAATCGTCTTGGCGAGGAGAGACGGACAATCGGCGGTAACGTGACAATGGACGTCATCTTGTCAATAAAAGACATCTTTTCAATAGGAGGAGGCACAATGCTTTCGGCGAGGGACAGGAAGGATCCATTTGATACAACAGCTCTTGTGGCGGGCGCGTGAGGCACGCCTTGCGTGGGCAGGGGAAGGGCCTTGGCGAGGGTGAACGGTTGGACAGCTGGAACGTGAGAGAATCTTTGGGGCCACAAATATTTTTTTTTCTTATAAAGAAAGACTAACCCCTTGACGCCCACGGAAAAGCGCGGGTGGCCCTAACAGCCCAGCAAGTGTGGCCGCGAGAAGCGTCCATTTTTGGAGTGAGAAAGGTTCTGGGACACAAAATTGGAAGACATTAATGGGGGAGGGGGCTTGACCAGTGCAAACAGCGGGGAAGGGAGATGGATCCCTTTTTAAGACAAAAGTGAAACCTCTTCACGTTCTATGAAAGACGGAGGGATACCCTTTTCGTCATAAATATTCTTACGGCGTGAATGAGTTGCGACCCCGGATGGTGACGTCACGAGACTGGTCCCAGTCGGCACGCCCCTGGCGGGGGGTTCTTCGAAAGAAGGCGGCGTGGGTGGCAGAGATTGGGCGGCGGGGGGTCACGTGGGCGCTCGGATGCTTAGATTGGGACGGACCGCGAGCCTTAAAACAAGCGGAACACAGAAACATCGGGATTACACATCTTTTCTGCGCTTTTGCTTTTTGATGTTGGCTTTTGCTGGGCGACTTTGGCATTTTGTTTTCTTGGTTGCTTGCTTCGGTTGGTCGTTAACTAGTTCGGCGTTGCCGTTAGCCTATCCTGGTCATCTGCCATGATCCTAAACTTTGCTCCATGCGTCGTTGAAGTGCTGCGATAGAAACGGCTCCGCCGTCGTTGTACAATGAGGCGGCCATGGTCATCGGTCGGACGCCCGCAGGAGCCCCGGGCCGAACCACAAGTGCAGCACTGAGAACGTCGCCGCCTCCATCAACGGAACTACCGGAAGATTAGTGAGAAGGCCGGACGGTCGACCTCTTAAATGACTGACCTCGCTGGGCTATCTGCCGATATCATGGCGTCATTGTAATTTTCACTACTAGTAGTAGTAACTATATGTAACACACATATGTAATCCAGCCATCGTAATAATTTAATTTAATGTGTAAGCCAGAAACTCTTTTACTGGTCGACGGACCGAAAGCTTCTTTACGCATACGTCCTGTTCGCCCGTCAGAATTTCAGATATATAGAGAGCAGCGACCTCTCCGAGAGCAGCCGGGCAGCCGCAAATCAAAGGCGATCGTCTTGGATAAATAAGGTAAAAGGTGTTAGAAGTCGATAAGTACGTGGCAATTTAGTGGTAAAAAAATTATAAAACAGTAGTTACTTAAAACTTAAAAAAAATATTTATTTGCATTGAATAAATGTAAAGTGTTCTTTTATTGCTTTTAAACAAAAAGGTTTAATTCCTGTTCATCATTTAGGCAAAATGGCAATGACGGCAAAACGTCCGCCCGTCTGAACAACGCTAGCGGCTAACGCTAAACCGTTCTGTCGATTTCCTCCAAAACTGATACTCTGCAATCGATCTGGCTGATGTCGCAGCCCCTTGAAATTCAAACCGAATTTCTAATTTTTGGGGGCTATTTTAAATTGAGCCCCTGTGACTTTTTCAACATTTTCAAAAAAATGGCGCCAACATTTTTGATTAAACTTTGTTATTGGACAGTGCGAAGGACCTTTAAGACAATGGTCAAGGTCTCATGTTCGTTGAAAATCCTAATTTTTCTAAAATTGTTATAGTTAACATTTTTTAGGTGTCTTCCTACAAGTAAAATATTAAGATAGAGTTTGGATAGATTTTGAAATGAGATCATGTTTAATTTTTCCAAAATTTGAGTTTTACAAAAAATGATGACTGAGATATTTGGAGAGCAATTGCGGTATAAAAAGTATTACGTTAGTATTTCTAAGGACAAGAACGTATGTGCTGTTTTAGCAGCACTAGTTTCATCAAGAATTCAGCGAAGAACGTGTTTTATGCTGTCTTCAGGGAAATATTTTGGTTTAATGCCTTTGAAGCATTTGTGAATTATAGGAGAGTGTGTTGATGTCTCTCCATCAAAAATATATGAACATAGCTGAAACTGCATTTCTACTTCCACACCTTGAATTCATGACAACCTTCTTGTAGTCTGTGACTCGGTATGAATTGGCTATGGAAAATTAAACTACATTTTGAGGACATATTACTTACCATACCAAACACATCACCTTTCTTTAGAATGTCTGTCAGTGTTATTTCCGATCCATCCACAGATAATACTTCAACTTCTCCATGATCTATGAAATACATAGTGCCATTAAGTTCTCCTGTTTGAGCAATAATATTTCCAGCGAAATATTTCGTGTATTTTAAATATGTAACCAACTGGCGTAAGAAGTCAGGGTGACTTCCTGAGAAAACTACATTCTGTAACAATAAACAATTAAAATTAGTACGTATAATCAGAATCATTTCTAGTTTACTTATTTACGTAAAAAAAGTTAAAACTGTGTGTGATGTGCTATGGGGAGAAGTTAATTTGAAATTACATTTATGTCCAGAAGCAAAACAATGGGCCATCTCAGCATTTGCTCGAGGATCAGGGAAACTGGACGAAAACCTGATTGAAATGGAGGTCATTGACCCAGAAGCTGAAAAACAATACTTGTTTGGCAGGACACTGCTACCTTATTTGGAAGAAAATATTTATTTCCGAATAACAAAGAATATAACTGACGAGATTTGAGTGACGTCTTTATGTTACCTTGATAGTCAGCTGATAAACTTGATCAACGCATACCGCCCGAACAGCGCCCAAATTTGGAAAATGAATTTGATAATTTTCGTCGGTACACTACGCAGTAAAAAACTGGCAACAGTAATCTATAATATAAAAATGAATCGCAAAATGTGTTGGTAAGCGCATAACTCAAGAACGCCTGGACCAACAAAGAGTGTATATTTACGCACAGAACGCAGTACAAAGAGGCTGCTCATCCACATCTACTACATTAACCAGTTTTTTCAAGACATGCCAAAACGATGACTTTGCACAAACATTGCTATATTCTGAAATGCCAAAAATTATTATACTTGGAATCAATC